TGAAAATGGCCCTCCGTTTCAGGCTGAAAAGCCTCTGGGCCTGAAAGGCCCAGAAATAGGCTGAAAACGGAATAGGGCCTGCAGGCCCTCGTTTTTCAGTTTCAAGCTGAAACGATTGGGGCCTGTAAGCCCTATTTTCTAGGCTTTTAGGCTGAAAGTGCGGGACGGGCCCTGCAGGCCCGTGTGGCTACGCAGTATGCCACATCCCCCCCTCCTTGAAAGACCGAGCTTACCTGCGAGGGCGAAGCTGTCTGTCTGAGGGAGGGACCACAGTCCGGGTGGGAGGGGCTGGTCGTGAAGCTTCCTGAGCTAACCTTTGCTTCTCATAATGCGCGTAGATCAGCGGTGCGGGTGCTTTCAAATCTGCTCCTGAAATCCACCGTGTCGTCGCGATCGCATGCTTTGAATGTAACTTTGTACTGTCGCGGCTTGCTGCGGTATTTGCGATCGGTGATGACACGGTTAGCTGCCTGATGACCATCCATAGAAAGAGGGTCCTGCGATCATCGTCCCGGAAAGTCGTCGCTCTTAGCTGGTGTGTATGTTTCCAGTTTCGAGGCGTGAAAGACTGGATGGACCGTCAGATGCGGGGGAATGTTGATCACAAATGAAGGGCCATCAGGCTCATCGCCCGCGGCTGATGTTACGGGCCATGGTCCAAACCACTTGGGAAGCAGTTTGCGTGAGACATCCCGTTCCAGTGCAAACTCTTCCGAGGAAACCCAAACCAGGTCGCCGGCGCGGATGGGACATGGCACGCGATGCCTGTTGGCTTGCTGCTGCATGAGGACTTTAGCCTTTTGCATGTTCGCTCGGGCTTGAGCCAGCAATTCCCTGTACTTCCGGACGGAAGCGGGAGAGGAAGCGGCATCGATGTTGGCCGGTCATGAGAGGAGAAGGTCGGCGAAGATACGGCCTTTCCGTCCTCCGTGGTGCAACTCGAATGGAGTCACGCCATTTGTCGGGTGCACCGAAGTGTTGTAGGTGAACTCGATGTCGGGGAGGCGGTCAACCCAATCTTTTTGGTCCGGACGGATGAGCGTACGAAGCATCATTTGAGCGGTTTGATGTGCCCGCTCCGTTTGCCCGTCCGTTTGTGGATGCCGAGCCGAACTTGGTTTCATCTTCGTGCCGGACTCCTGCATGAGAGCAGTCCAAAATGTCGACATGAAGCGAGTGTCACGGTCGCTAACTATGTCTTCCGGTACATCGTGGCCGCAGATCCAGCCGGTGTGCAAGAGGCTTGCCAGCTCGGGAGTTGTGGAGTAGTATTTGCAAGGGAGAAAGCGCGCATACTTACTCAAATGGTACACAACCGTGAGGATGCCGTCGTGTCCGAGGCGGTCGTGGGGGAATGGTCCGATGACATCCATGGCAATGGAGAGACCGGGTTCCTGCGGGATCGGCATCGGGCGCAGCTCGCCGTAGGGATTGCGGTTGCGAGGTTTGCTTCGTCGGCAAACTTCGCAAGAGTCGCAATACCTCGTGACGTCGGTGATGAGGTCGGGCCATCGGAACCGTTGTCGAAGCCGTGCAATAGTGCGGTTGACTCCGAAATGGCCGGGGAGTCGCGAATCATGATACTCGCCGAGGAGGCGAGTCCGAAGACGGCGGTCGCATGGGACACATAGTAAGTCCTTGCCCCGCAAGTGCAGGAGCAAGTACCCATCGGCAATGCGAGTGGCTGGACGGCGGGTGATCCGAAGATAGCTGCGCATATAGCATGGCGAAGTCTGGATCGGACTCATAGCCCCTGATGAAGTGTCGCTGGAGCTCCTCGTCAAATGCGAAGGCATGATGTGTCATAGCGCAAAGATCAGGTCTTCGCGAGAGTGCATCTATTGCGCGATTGGAGAGGCTGAGAAGATGTTTCAGTGTGAAGTCAAATTGGTCGATGAAGTACATCCATGGTCCGATCATGCTGCTCACCGTATCCTGCGTCTTATAGTAAGTCAGTGGGTTGTTGTCCGTAACCCATGTGAACCTACGACGCCCAAGGAGAAAGTGCCGCCATCGCTTGAGAGCCATGACGAATGCGAGCAGCTCCTTCTTCCTTGCATCATCAAGCGAGTTGATGGGAGGCACTTTGTGGCTAAAATACTCCACAAGGTGCCAATCGTCGCCGTCGTGTTGTTCCAAGACTGCCCCAATGCCATAGCCGGAAGCGTCAGTTGTCACTTTCGTAGGTAGGGTGGGGTCATACATACTAAGGACGGGTGCCATGAGCATGGTCGTCTTAAGTGCTTGGAATGACCGGCGTGCGTCGTCATCGAATACAAATGGCACCTTTGGCGATTGTAATCTCGTCATAGGTGCAGCAATCCTTGAGTATTCGGTGATGACTCACTGATAGTAGCCCGCCAACCCCATGAAGGAACGAATGTCTGTGGTGTTGGTGGGCTCGGGCCATACGCGGAGGGCCTCGATCTTGTCCGCGAGCGGACGGATGCCTTGCGGCGTCACATAATGTCCCAAGTACTCCAGCTCCTGCCGCGCGAATTCGGATTTGTCGCGGTTGGCTTTGTACTTGGCTTGTCGTAGCCGCTCCAAAACGGTTCGCAGGTGTTCCAGATGCTCGTCCAAACCCTGGTTGTACACCAGGATGTCGTCGAGGTAGATAAGTACGAATCGATCCAGCATGTGTCGGAACTCCGTTGTCATAGCCGCTTGGAAAGTGGCGGGGGCATTCGTAAGGCCAAATGACATAACTAGCCATTCGAAATGCCCATATCGCATCTTAAACGCGGTCTTGTAGCGGTCCTCCTTCCGAATCTCGAGTTGGTGATATCCCGACTTGAGGTCCAGCTTGGAGAAGAACTTGGCGCCGCCCAGTCGTTTGAGAAGGTCGTCGATGCGTGGGAGAGGGCCGGCGTTTCTAATCGTCTGCGCATTGAGCTTGCAATAATCGATGCACAACCACAAATCCTTGTTCTTCTTCCGGACGAAGAGACTAGGAGCATCGTATGGCGATGAGCTAGGCCGTATCCAACCTTTCTCTAGAAGGTCGTCGAGTTGTGCCCGTAGCACACTTACCTCTTCCTCGCTCATTCGGTAGATGCAACCGCGTGGAGGTGCAGCCCCGTCCTCGAGGATGATCTCGGGGCGGATGGGCCGATCCGGTACTACGCGCGGGCCTTCGAACACGTCGCCGTAGGCGTCGAGAAGCTCGGTGATGCGTGGATCCGAAGATGAGTCCGTTGGTGAAGCGTCATGGGGTGGGAGGGCGTGGAGAAAACACACCCCCATCTCCTCGATGTCGTCTCTGAAGATGGAAGCTCGCATGCTTGCGGCAGATACCACGTGGCAGCTGATCGAAGGGTGAGGAGGAGGCACCGTGCATGGGACTAGTACTCCGTTCCTATCACGGACGTGAACGGTGCGGCGGTAGAAGTTCACCGGGTGGTCGTCGCTTCGCAGCCATGACATGCCCAAGATCATGTCGAATTTGGTGTCTAGAATTTCAAAGGACACCGCCTCGCTTGCGTGAGGGGCAAAGTACACTGGGACGTCATCAATGCACCGGTCGATTGACTTGTGCGTGTGACCGTCCGCCAACGTGACTTGCGTGGGTTGGGACTTCCTTCGGACTCGTGGGCCAAGGCCGGCGCGTACCATGAAGTCCTGACTCATGTAGTTGCGAGTTGCTCCGCAATCGATCAATGCGCTGCAGGTCGCTTGTCCGATCTGAATGCGTACATAAAGCAATGGTGCATCGATGTCGTCGTATCGTTGCGTCTTGAACTCGCGGTCGATCTTCGCAATGTAAGCGTGAAGGTCGACAACCTCTACTCCGACGTCCATCAACAGAGCTGGTACTGCAGTGTGCAAGTAATCTCGCAGTTGTGCCATCAACACATTGCAATGCGGTTTCGGCAATCGTCCGGTCGGGGGAACGGGCATCCACTGGAAGTCCGTGAATGTCAGTGGGTCGAGCACCTCAAGTCTTGACCATGACGATGAATCCCCGGCGATAGATAGCGGCGAAGCTGCCGAATTGGTTGACGATGGTGGTGAAACCGTGCATGCGATGGATTGTTGCACGTGGAGCGGTTGGTCCAACGGTGGGACCAAGTGGACAGCATAGTCCTCGTAAGTATACCGAGAACTTACGACATTCGCATCCTCCCCAGATGTGTAGGAGGCCGCTAGCAAGGTAGCCGAATCCGGTGGGACCAAGTGGACAGCATAGTCCTCGTAAGTATACCGAGAACTTAGGACATTCACATCCTCCCCAGATGTGTAGGAGGCCGCTAGCAAGGCAGCCGAATCTGGCGGAGTTGGAGGTGGAGTTGCCTCACCTCCCACGAAACTCAGTTTCCCGAGTTAAGACGAGGCCGCACATCCTCCTTGGCCTGATCCTGGCAAAGGGAGGTCTTGTGCTTGGTGTTGTTGCACCAGTAACAGCAGTCGCAACGGCCGCGGTACTTGTACTCGGCCTCTGTCAAGTTGAACTTGACCCATGGTGCTGGCTGTCCGTTTCCGGCCTGCGATGCTGATTTCGCCTTCCCATTTACTCGGGACTTGTTGTTGCTTTGCGGCTGGACAGCAGCCACCTGATCTCCCTCACGTGATGCTTGGGCGGCTGCCGGGTCTTCTCCACTGTCCAATTGGACTGCAGCTCCAAGCGGCGGCCGCGGACCAGTCTTTACCTTCTCCACATAGGTCGGCTGCCATGTTGACTTCTCGTGTGCAGCCGGCCTGTTAGTCTTGATGATCTCTCTCGCCTTGTTGATGATCTCTGCGAAAGTGTTGTACTGCTCGAGATCACCAAGTGCGAGGCTGAGAGCGGCGCATGACCTGTTGAAAAACTCCTGGCGGAGATGTGAGAATGGCAAGTCCAGATCGGGTGTGGCCACGATCTTCTGCCAATCCGTGAGCCAGTCACGTGTCGGTGTGCTCCCTTGAGCCATCGTGAAGATGCGGTTGATGGCGAGTGTCGGGGCGTCGTCGACGATGAACCGCTTCTTCCATTCCTTTGTCATATCCTCCCAGGAGACCTTGTACAGGTCTGAAACCTGGACGTCGTGGATGGTTGCCATGTGGCTGAGCCAGATCTGACATCCTCCCTTGGTGTTGATGAACAGAGTGCTGATGAACAGATGATCGGGGACCTCTTGAATCCACAACTACGTTGTAAATCCTTGCCACTAGACGACCGGGTCTTGATGTGTGTAGTCATCAAATTTCTCGATCCGGAACGTCGGCATCTTGTAAGGCCTTGCCGAGTTGTTGTTGTGGCTGTGGTCAGTCTGCTATTGCTGACTCATCTTGGTGTCCAGCACATCGAACCGCTGGCTGATGGTGGCCGGCTCTGCGAAGACACTGATGTCTCCTAGCATTGCCACTACGTGGTCAACGCGTTCTTCCAATTGGCGGTTAGAGGGTGCACTGCTGGATACGCCAGCATCTGGTCCTGGTACAGCTTGCTCGAGGTCCAGTACACGGGAATCGAGTGCCCGTGTAGCATCCTAATGGCTCTGCCCGGCGGAGGTTTGCCAACTCTTGGTGCTGTTTCTTCAGATCCTGGTACTGTTGGTGCAGTTCCTGGTTATGTCTCTCTAACTCGGACCGTTGGTAGTTGCAAGCGTATAACAACCATGTCACGAGTTTGGAGAGGAACTCCTTGTGCTGCTCCTTCGGTGTCGCGTCGTCGCCGTTGGACGGTTGAAAATGCCAGAACTTGAGTCTTTCGATATTGGCGGCTTCGTGCCACTGCAGCAGATCCTGGGCTTCCTTGCGGCGTGCATGGGAATCTGCTTCAGCTCCGGCTTGGAGCCGCTGCTTCAGCCTGTAGGCGGGCAGCCTCGGCTGCCAGCTGGCGCTGTTCCTCAGCCTCGATCAATGCGAGCTGAGTTTGGAACCGCTGTTTGTAGTTGGCAATAGACTCGTTGGCCAGTTGGCCTGGCATGCCCAAAGCTGCGCCCGTCATGGTGGCGGGGCACTGTGACGTGGCACTGTGGCTGACATGGCACTGTTGACGTGGCATTGTTGCTGACGTGGCATTGTTGCTGACGTGGCACTGGTGACGTGGCACTGTGGCTGACATGGCACTGCTGACGTGGCACTATTGATGTGGCACTGTGGCTGACATGGCACTGCTCACGTGGCACTCTTGACGTGGCACTGTGGTTGACGTGGCACTGCTCACGTGGCACTGTGGCTGACGTGGCACTGCTGATGTGGCACTGTTGCTGACGTGGCACTGTACCAACTCGGAAATGCCTGCAAAGGGGTGGGTGGGAGGGAGAACGTAGGTAGCCAACCAACTCAACAATACCTTCCTCCGGCCCTAATCAACAGATAAAAAAAAAAAAAAAAAAAGAGGACTGCTTCCTTTGTTTTTTTTTTTTTTTTGTATATCTGTCGATCTATTATGAGTGAGACATGTCAGAAGAGTACTATGAACGAGATCTAGGCTAGGGTCCGCAAAGTTTTGGCTTTCACAAAATGTGATCTTGAAATTTTTTATTTTTTTTTTTGCGAAATGGAGTAAAGATGCGATTTTTAGAAAAGAACGAAATCCCGTTTCGGAGAATATGGCAACCTCCGAATATGCCTAACGAAATGTTGGTAGGCTTCGCAAGATTTCGGTTTTCAAAAAAAATTTGCGAGATAGAATGGAAATTCGATTTTCAGAAAAGAATAATTCCGGTTTTCGAGAATATGACCACTTCTATCGTTATCCCAATATGCCTAGAAAACGAAATACTAACAACAGAAAATTTCAGCTACGTATGCGAAATATCAGAGAAACGGAATGCTACTATCGGAATTTTCAGACAAAACGAAATGCGATTTATCAAAAATTTTCAGATATTTCATCATATTTGTTACGTGAGAACGAACTCCCAATATCATAAATTTTCAGGTTAAACGAAATGCGAATATCAGAAATTTTCAGATAGTTGTTGCGAGAAAAAATTTTCAGAGACAGACGAAGAAGGGGGGTTTAGACGAAGAAGAGGGTAAGATGGGAATGTCGTCAACACCAAATCTTCGGCACAGGCCCAAATAGTCCCTCGTCAAATGTCTGAATCCCAATGT